GCTTTTAATACTAACCTTGATCATGTACTCCACCCTGCTGTGTGCATGTCGCTCTATCACAGACTCCACCCAAATCAATGGTTTCACCTGGAAGAACATGAAATCACCATTTACACTGTACCTCTCATCTTTGTAGTGCATATTTTTGTCAATAAATACAAAATTTAATCTTAAAACAATGCCAGTCACTCATTTAAGTGCATTAAACCTCGATTTTAATGTTCTTCAAAAGCACTCAATACTGGAAATATACATATAGCAGCAACTTACATGTGTGTTGAGTCTGTAGGACATTAACTCAAATTCTCCATCAGGTGGGATAAAACTAATGGTGCGATCATTTTCAAACCTTGACAGTCTGACACACTGGTGAAATTTGACATCTTCCAGCTCAACAGACTTACTTTTACCTCCTGAGAATATAAAAATTCCATTGTATACACCAAGGATTTATCAGGAATATCTTACCCAAAACTAGAAAATAATGCACAAGAAAATGTAGCACTAACTGGAAACATTTTATATGTAATTGATATAATTTATAATTCAAAAAAGTCAAAGGTACTTTTTCATCACTTACTTCCTGTACTTTCAAAGAGCACCTTGTCATTCAGTCCTAGCCTAAGTTCTGGCATCCCAGAAAGGAAAACGCGCATCTTGATTGCACCCACTATTTCACTTCGTAATACATTTCCATTGGCACTCACCTTGTAATGGAATACAATCATGATTAATAATGTAACATTCTCTGAAACTCAAAGAAAACGTAAAAACACTTTTTAAAGGATGGAAACGAAATGAAGCTGCATTATTTTATGCAATAAACAACTGAAGTCAACAAAATTTTATGTTCAGATAAATCAGCAGATGCCTTTTCTTACCAGCAAGTTAACAGACTCTATGACATCAAGGAAAACTTCATTTTTTCTGTATTTGATCCCTTCTGATCTCCAGGACACTGCATTTGTTACTGCCATGGGAGGACGTGGAGCAACCTCCAGCTTATGTCCTTCTTGGGTTATATACCTGGAAGTTAACAAGGATGTACACTAGAATACTATATCCTTAACATACACATATAGATCAAAAGCTTTTATGTCATAAACTAAGTATAATCTTATCACTCACATGAAATATTTCCACATCCCATCAGCCATCGAAAAAGTCTCAATGTCACTTTGAGACTGATGAAGCTGGCCTGAGGGCATGTGGGAATATTTCTCACAATGATAAATTAATACTTAATTTGTGACAAAAGAGCTTTTGATTGCTCTCATCTACCAAACTGATGAAACTCTTTTAAACAGAGACACAAATCTGGCAGACCAACAAATTTCACGGTGAAAATAACTTATAGATAAAAATAATACAATCAAGTAAGTGATTAAATATATATAATCTAGTTTTCAATAGCATCTTCCAGTTTTAATAGAACAAATAGAAGAAGAAAGCAATAGATTAAAGTCAGTGTATACACTCTTATATTGACTTACTCTTGTAGAATCTTGCTGTCTGTTGTTTGTGGGTATCCGAAATCCATCAGTTCATCCACTAATTCATAAACAATGACAAAGTTATCCCTTATACTTTCTTCTTCTAACTCTTTGAAGTATTCTGTGAAAACCTAGAAACATACAAGAAGATTAGGTAAAATCAAAGAAAACTGTGATTTACATTCTGTCCAATCTAAATATAGCTGCCTTATGTTGCTCATAAATTAGTAATTGTTTTTGGTGATAATAAATTAATAAGGATTGACTATCTAAAAAGAACGTAAAAAATGACTAGGAAAATAAAAGTATCCAACATATGGCAATTTTTCATCAAAAACTTTTACATTAAAAAAAGAAAAGTGCACAGCTTTGGCAGCAGATTCAGCACATTTAAATGATGACTATGTTTTCAGACTACTGTCTGTGAATAAAAAATAATACTTACTGAAACAATTTTATGTAAAAAAGAAAACACCAATGCCACATTGGCATTTTTCTTGGACAATGCCACTACTTTTTATGTGATTAAGGAAAAACAACATGATGACAAATGAGCAAAACGACTTAGACTAACTGACATTATAGCATGGATTATATCCTATTAAGCAGGAACAAAATGAACAGCTGACTTGATGATGACTTTTCAGCACATGTGTGAAAATTTTATTTGATATTTATCCTGTAATCAAAGGTCAATCCATAATCCAAAGTCAAAGTCAACTTAAATATTGTTACGAACAGAGCAAAGCTTAGATAAATAAATTACTAGTAGACTTATAGCATGGATTATATCCTATTAAGCAGGAACAAAATGAACAGCTGACTTGATGATTACTTTTCAGCACATGTGTGAAAATTTTATTTGATATTTATCCTGTAATCAAAGGTCAATCCATAATCCAAAGTCAAAGTCAACTTAAATATTGTTACGAACAGAGCAAAGCTTAGATAAATAAATTACTAGTAGACTGACAGACTTGGCCTTCTTCATAAGACCTGGGGATTTAAAGGATACTGTACAGATTGTTGCACTTGATGTACATATAAGCCGCATTCCCATGGATAAGGATTGGTGTCGTACTGCCATCCTCTTCTATATCCATCAACAATGTCATAAACTTGTCTATCACATTGCTATCAAATTCCCCTCTGTAATTCCTCGAGATCATTACCTGATAATAAATCAAACTCTGGGCTTACTTCAACTGAGCACAATATTGTGACAAGGCAATTATACCCATAAATAAAAACATGCAAGAATATATTTTAGAAGACTGACATAAAGAGATCTCTTTACAGTTTTAATAAAATCTACTTTCATGGTCAACTTATAAGAGTATTGCCAACTTACCTTCCCCTTGGCATCTAAGATGTATAGTGCTGACACTGACATCTTTATTGATTTTTCAAACTAATTTTTCAACCTTGGAAGAAAAAATAAAATTACTAACTTATCATAATGAAATAACTTTAAACACTATGACATGTACAAATAACAACTACTAACACTGGTGTAAAAACATCAAACAAATATTTATATTTCAATTATCATTATTAGCAAAAAGACACCTTAAACAAAACCATTTACAAATTATGTACTGGTCACAATGGTAATCTATCACAGCAAATGTATATTAAATCAATCTGAAACATATAAGCAACAAATAATTCTGACATCGGCACAGTACTCTGAGTACTCCTCCCCCATTCAGTCCCTTCAACTTTGCGAAGACAGTATACCAATGAGGTTTCCAAGACTTTGTTAACAAATACACATATGCAGTCGATTAGACACATTAACCAAGTGGAAACATAATTGGTAGAGATATAAAACAGCATTAGAATGTCAAAAATTGTATCGAACGTACCTTGTTTTTTAATTAAACGTTCTGCTGTTACCAGAAAGCCGAAGCCGGAAGAAGTCACGATAGAACACCTGCCTTCCCACAATGCTTAGAGCAAAGCTGACTTCCGGAGTAGATTCATTTTGTACTCTATTGGTAAGAAATACGCCATTTCAAATAAATGTTTTACTTTTGAAATATCTGATTTGAATGTATAAACTGCATATCTTCTCGCTTCCTTTGCTGAAGTTGACAAAGACATTTTTTATAATTACACTTGCGGTGTTGGCACTGACGTCATCACAACATTGTCATTGAGAAATGGCAGACTGGACGAGAAGAAATGGAAATGGCCTTGGCAAAGGTAATTACACTGAGTTCATTATGTAAAGTAAAGTCAGATGTAACACGTCTCTGTCAGTTGATCACAAAAGGTATTTTTGTTGCCTTTGCACGTTTTAAGTGGTCTTGCATGGGAGTACTGTGAACATCTACTCAGCTAATGTTTGTACATGTACTTTCATTCTTTCTGACATGAATAAATTCATTGTATTGTATTGTATTGTATTGTACTATCACCTAACATATACAGTCGTATTGTGATTCCAATTTTACTTAACTTTGATTGACAGAGCATTGAAGCTTTGAAGTGATAGAGTGAAATTAAAGGTACTGATATTTTATTTTTGCATATTTAAGGCCAATCAGAAGAAATGCTGGACAGAGAAAATCAGCAAATGACTGAAAACCTATCCAGGAAAATGAACAGGCTTAAAAACGTAAGGTCATGTACTGAAGTCCACACACAACGATTCTAATCAAGCTCTGTAACGACTTAAAACTTAGCACACAGATAGCTACATACCTTAGTATGAATAAACCAGGGCCGTAGCCTGAGCAAAATGCCAGGGGGGGCANGGATAAATAAATTACTAGTAGACTGACAGTCTTGGCCTTCTTCATAAGTCATGGGGATTTAAAGGATACTGTACAGATTGTTGCACTTGATGTACATATAAGCCGCATTCCCATGGATAAGGATTGGTGTCGTACTGCCATCCTCTTCTATATCCATCAACAATGTCATAAACTTGTCTATCACATTACTATCAAATTCCCCTCTGTAATTCCTCGAGATCATTACCTGATAATAAATCATACTTAGGGCTTACTTCAACTGAGCACAATATTGTGACAAGGCAATTATACCCATAAATAAAAACATGCAAGAATATATTTTAGAAGACTGACATAAAGAGATCTCTTTACAGTTTTAATAAAATCTACTTTCATGGTCAACTTATAAGAGTATTGCCAACTTACCTTCCCCTTGGCATCTAAGATGTATAGTGCTGACACTGACATCTTTATTGATTTTTCAAACTAATTTTTCAACCTTGGAAGAAAAAATAAAATTACTAACATATCATAATGAAATAACTTTAAACACTATGACATGTACAAATAACTACTAACACTGGTATAAAAACATCAAACATATTTATATTTCAATTATCATTATTAGCAAAAAGAGACCTTAAACAAAACCATTTACAAATTATGTACTGGTCACAATGGTAATCTATCACAGCAAATGTATATTAAATCAATCTGAAACATATAAGCAACAAGATAATTCTGACATCGGCACAGTACTGTGAGTACTCCTCCCCCATTCAGTCCCTTCAACTTTGCGAAGACAGTATACCAATGAGGTTTCCAAGACTTTGTTAACAAATACACATATGCAGTCGATTAGACACATTAACCAAGTGGAAACATAATTGGTAGAGATATAAAACAGCATTAGAATGTAAAAAATTGTATCGAACGTACCTTGTTTTTTAATTAAACGTTCTGCTGTTACCAGAAAGCCGAAGCCGGAAGAAGTCACGATAGAACACCTGCCTTCCCACAATGCTTAGAGCAAAGCTGACTTCCGGAGTAGATTCATTTTGTACTCTATTGGTAAGAAATACGCCATTTCAAATAAATGTTTTACTTTTAAAATATCTGATTTGAATGTATAAACTGCATATCTTCTCGCTTCCTTTGCTGAAGTTGACAAAGACATTTTTTATAATTACACTTGCGGTGTTGGCACTGACGTCATCACAACATTGTCATTGAGAAATGGCAGACTGGACGAGAAGAAATGGAAATGGCCTTGGCAAAGGTAATTACACTGAGTTCATTATGTAAAGTCAGATGTAACACGTCTCTGTCAGTTGATCACAAAAGGTATTTTTGTTGCCTTTGCACGTTTTAAGTGGTCTTGCATGGGAGTACTGTGAACATCTACTCAGCTAATGTTTGTACTTTCATTCTTTCTGACATGAATAAATTCATTGTATTGTATTGTATTGTACTATCACCTAATATATACAGTCGTATTGTGATTCCAATTTTACTTAACTTTGATTGACAGAGCATTGAAGCTTTGAAGTGATAGAGTGAAATTAAAGATACTGATATTTTATTTTTGCATATTTAAGGCCAATCAGAAGAAATACTGGACAGAGAAAATCAGCAAATGACTGAAAACCTATCCAGGAAAATGAACAGGCTTAAAAACGTAAGGTCATGTACTGAAGTCCACACACAACGATTCTAATCAAGCTCTGTAACGACTTAAAACTTAGCACACAGATAGCTACATACCTTAGTATGAATAAACCGTCAATATTTTTATATAATTACCTGTATTTGGTCTTACTGGCCTTTGCTGATTTTTAAGAAAATTTTAGTTAAGAAAATTTTGTCCTTAGAAAATTTCCCTTTTAACCTTTCTTAGATAGTCAAAACATTGACCATGTGGTAGTACCAGCTATATTTAGTCATGTGTCAACACTAGGTCAGTTCCCAATGCAGTAGTTATGAAGCAGCATGCTGTGTAAAGAGTGGTAGAAATCTGATACTCTGGGGACACTCTTTATGGCTGTTTGTGTTAACAAAGAACTTGCTCCATCTATTACCATCTTTGCTCCCTACAACTTCTATACAACTACTGAGATAGTCAGAAACATGACATGAGCAAATAGTGTTTTAAATATATTTTCGGAAAGGTTTCCCAAAACCCCATTGCAGAGATTAAATAACGTACCAGCAACTTATACTAGTAGTTATTCAAACTAACAGGTGCATTTTACTTTAAACAGGTAGCCTTTGACATGCAGACAGAGGCAGAGGACCAGAATAGATACCTGGATGGGATGGTAAGTGAGCCATTTGATGACTTAATTATATCTTAATTATATTTTATATTTTTGTGTATACGTGTAGCTAATATGCACTCACTCAAATCCTGAAATATAACACCAGGTTTCACCTCTTGTCATATATAAAGAACATACTTGTAGGTCACCGTTTTCTATGATGATTTAATGCATTTTTGAAAATGTTACTTCTTTCTCAAAGTAAATCCTGAGTAAATAAAAAGAAAAAAAAACACTCAAGTTTACATCCTACATTATCTTTCACTTCAGGGCAGTGATTTTGAGAGCTCCCAAGGACTTTTATCTGGCAGCATGAACAGGATAAACCACATGATAGGTGCCAACAAATCAAACAGAAAAATTATGTGCTACATTGTACTGTTTTTGGTGATCATATTCTTTGTGGTTTACTTCCTGGTCACTCGTTCATCTGGCTCCTGACAACCAATACCCAGCCAGGGGTCCAATTCTACTACACCCCAAGTTTGATAAGGAACTTAGGAATTGCATGGTCCATATCACTTTCCTGCCACAGGTGGTGGTTCTTTTGGTTTAGAATGCAGAGATCTTTCCCTTCACATATTTGGCATTCCAAACCTGCTTTGTTACACTGACCAGACGGTGGGAATCTGTATTGTGTTTTTATTAATACTGTGCTAGTCAATGGATGGATGGATTTTGTGGCCCTCCCCATGTGCCATACATGTGTTAAACCAAAATATGAATTACAGGGTATTTGTACCCAAGGCGTAGTTTTAGCTCTATGTCAGACTGTTTTATGTATATTTGTAAATAACTGTGTAAATGATATTTGGAAAAAAAAACTGACATGTGGCAGTTGAATAAAATATTTTTGAAATATTGATTTAATTTCCATCAGTTGTAAGGTCTGGAACCAAAATGTTTTTTAAAACAATATTTTTATAGAGTTAAATATTGGCATTGAATAAAATGTAGTGTCCTTCCGCTCCCAAAACATAATAGGTTAAGTGATAAAGCTTTGTTAAATTAGCTAACAATATCTTTATCAATTAAAAGGTGTACATATTATGTTACAAATTGATAAGTGATCTGTTTTATTATAAAGACTCATTGATTGTTTATGCACAAAATTCTGGCATTCTAGAAGTGATTTTGAAAAGATTATACGTAATCCTACAAAAAGATATCCCAATATTTAAGATACAAAATGAAACATCCTTGCATTGATTCAGTTATATTCCTATTCTTCTTACATTTCTTAATAGAAAGATGTATTTAATTTCTGAATGCTTTGACATATACCTAAGATTTTTGGACCAGAGCTTGTTTAGTCAAAGGAATTTACAAGTACAACTAAGATGAAAGCAAAAAAAGAAAAGAATTTGCATTACAAGATTCCCTTAGTTACATTTGAAATTGTAAAGAACATGTTGACCAAAGTACTTAACTTCTGTAACTAGTTTAGTTTCTGTGTTAACCTGGTAAAACTGGTTACATTTGCTTATGGTCTTAAGTTTTATCACTAAGCAAAATAAAAGAGAACAATTTTTAAAAAGTTAATCAGACGTGTGTTCAAACTCGATAGGATGTATTTTTCAAAAGGTATTGTACATGGCATAGTAGTCCTCAGTTTGTTGGGGTACGTCCTTCCTACATGTGAGTTTCTGAAGCACTTCAATTAGTAATACCTGTGGATATACAGTAAGTGCGGTAAGTAAACCGTACCCTGCATCATAGCATCACTTAGGTACTTGAAGTGTGAGCTGCATGGTCCATTAACATGGTTCCTTTTATCTTGGGGGCCCTCGAGTAATCTGCGCAAGCTTTTAAATGAACACGTAGTTTTACTGAAGATTGGCATCACTACTTCCATGCTGAATTTGCGAGGTGGAGAAGGGGGGGGGGCAAGTCGTGGCATTTTCTTTAGAACATCCTCTGTGTGAGCGTTCAGCAAGTAGCTCTGAGCCTGCCATAATTTGCCATTACTCATAAGTGTCAGGCCTTGGAAGCAGTGGATATATAGTTAAAGGTCAAGTTTGATAGCTATCTGTGTACCCAACTTTCCAGACATATAGGTAAACTTGCCAAAATGGGCAGAAAGTCAATAGATAGTATCACCGGTGAGACATGGCACTGAATACTGAAGTCGAACCTACGATGACATCTGGATATGCCTTTTGACGTCACTGGTATGTCATTAATAAACTGTGACGTTTTGCTTTATTCTAGTGAGGTGGTCAGAGTCGACTGAAGGACTCGATAGTGATGCTTTCTAATTGGGAAACTCTTGTGCGGAAATTAGCCCCTGGTGAGATTTATGTGAACCGACCACTCCACCAAAGGTTATTTGGATTTAACTATATAAAAACACCTGTGCCTGATGAACAGGTTAACCTTTAGAGCTCATTAGGTTCTTTGGGATTACTCTCAATTTTGTGCTTAACACCTACCAACGCGAATTGATGTTTTAATGCACTATAGAATATTTTGATTGGAATGCATATCATTTAAATATCAAAACGCGGTGAAAATGTGTTCATGAATATCAATGAAGTTCATTCCATTTTTGTCAGCACATTGCTTTATCGATATATATATATATTGATATAAATCTGGATTATGATCAATTCATATATATTAAGAAACAAGTTAAATGTTGTGAGCAGTAAATGACCCAAAAAAGTATTCTACGTAATAAATAACCCTGTGCAATGATATTCTCCTAGAATTACTCTAAAAACTGCCTGAATGAAACATTAACCCAGTTTCTGACATTTGGAAGCAGTAGAAATATTCCCGCCATGTGCAAAATAACGTGCAGTTTTCCAGAGAACACAGATACATCAGAGCTTCACAATTTGACACATTGTGGCAGAGAACAGAGTTCACAGTAATCATAAAGTTTGTGAAGAAACGGTGCAAGGCCCAACTGAGGTGTTTTTAATCAATATGCCATCACACCGGAAAGTTGGTCAGTGCACAAATTGCTCAATGAAAAAAAAAAAAAAAGATTAGTTGGTGTCGACGATAAACACTTACTTTGGTGAAATATAAAAAAACTATACTTGGGGTCCAATAAGAACATTTATTTCCAATTAACTTTGATTAAGGATATTACAAAAATGGACGATGGAATATTTATTTCTCAGTGCTGGCTCGAAGAGATGAAAGAATATAATATTAATCCATCACGTTCCTTTAAAAACAAGTAAAACATCAAAGTTGTTATTCCGCATCTTTTAAAAAAAGTGCGAATGTAAGTAGGAGGCCATGAGATCAGACTTTCACTCACTACCCTTTACGACAATACAATCATCATAGGCCAAAAGTCCAATGATCTGGTCACCGTTTTCTCCGCCCAAGTGGAGTCCGATGTTTCCCACGCCTTTCAATGGATCGTTCTTTCCTGACGCCCCTAGTAGCCATACATTTTTGGAGTCCCCTTCCATGTCCGCAACTCCGTATTGCCATTTGCCATTTCCAAGATCTTTGCGGCCCATTATATGGAATTTTTGCCAACCTGGAAATCAAGCGCAGATATAACATTGGCGCCAAGGGATGAAAGGAAGCGAGGTGGGAATTTACTGCTTCTGACTCAGGTAGCAAAGTCAGTGGTCAATACATGAACGTAAAGCAGTATTTTTTCGACGGGAAACACTACGCAGTTTCTACGAGAGATCACTGCCGGTGCTTGCAAATGAGTGTTCTAACTTAGGTTGAAATTAGATTATCAAGTGAGAAATAATTTGAAATCGTATTTGTTCGAAGTGTAACTGAAATACTGTTTTGCAAACAGGGAGTTTTTTCTTTCTTTTTTTTTCTACAAGCGGAGTTAATCTTTTCAGTGCAGTTTCATAGGTCCAATATAACATTGAAAACTTAATTGGAAATAATAACTTCGTCCCAAACGTGAAATAAATACAAAAGTTTGTTCGCTTACCATTATCATTGTTATAATCATTACATGATTATCAAAAAAGAAAAAGATTCATTGCCATTAAAGTTCATTGCGGGACGAGATCATATAATATTATGTCTTACCAGACGGATGGTCCGTGCTGTGGATTTCAGGCCTGTTCTCCCATACTGAATCGTCGAAATGAAACATCAAATCCATGACACCGGCTTAGTTAGACAACTTCGCAGAAACCTGCAAGTAAAAATGCAGTGAAAACAACAAGCAAATCGCGATTTGACTCTTATTCGATTAACATCTGTTTGCGGAAGGAATTTTGACATCAATTCAAGAAGAAAACGTTGCCCTCTCACACGGATAAACATTGATAACGACTTTTACCGAACGTTAAAATGAGACTTTTTATGCGTTATTGTTGATTATAAAAAATAGAACAAAAAATCACGGCGAAAGTAATAACTTACTTTTCTGAAACCTGCACTTCACAAGATTCACAACGAAATCTTTAACGTTATTCCACCGTTTTCCAGGTAAGTTTCTGTGAGGAGGCGTTGCCTGCAAATGCCGAATCCACGAGGTAGCTGCTCAGTGTGTGACCGGGGTCGGCACTACCTTAAAATGTTCATCTTTATGTACTTGCTCAATGCGGCATGATTCTTTACTGGAGCCGTTGTTAAAATACAGGTCGAACGAGGAAACGGGCTTGTTATCGAGAAACTCATGCCAAAGCAAATATTTTTGGATTAGTTTTGAAGGCGTTGGCAGGGAAATCACGTTTTAGAATTTATTCAAATGCTCCAGCCGTGAATCGTCAACAAACAGGTAGTAAAGAAAAATTAAAAAGTGGTCAGAATCACCCATTTAATACAAGAGCGTTTACAAAAACGATTTGTCCATTTTTTGATGAAAGAGTTGAAAATGTGGAAAATTTTGAGCGAAGATAATTTCAAAACCCGCAGAACTACAACAACACGGCTGGTCTTTAAAACCCGAAGTGCCCCACCTGGGGAAATATGATGAATAAACCAAGGGAGCGCAGGCAGTCGAAATCAACAAAACCATCAGTTGAAAAGGTTCAGGTACTTGAGAATATTTAGAAACAGAAATTATGAACTTACCGGTAGTCCTTGCATTCATGACATATGAATTATCTTTGCATGGTAGATGAAAAAAGAATAATAAAAAAGATACATAGACAAAAATGTTAGGTCTTGTTAGATTGTTTCAATGTACTTTATTGCAATTTAATATGTCACTTTGTATTCAGTCTTTCGAGAAGATATTGAATACTAAAACTGTAATAGCTGCGTGCTGGCTTTGTTTACTATTGGCTAGAAACCTCCAAGTAAATAAAAACAGCAAACATATCTATTAGTGTGAACATTAACCATAAACTTCTGAGAGATACGAAAAGAGATTTTATGTGCAACTGGTGGTGTAGGTACAAGTAAAATGCCAAGTGCCTGGTAGCTCACCCATATCGACTCCACTACAATATTGTTTTTCACGTTTTCGAGAAGTCACCCACATGCCAATATACATATTCTTCAAGGGCATACAAGGACGACCGATGTTCTAGGCAGTTCTGCGAGTTTTTTTTCATAACTGAAAATATGATGAATTTAAACCAATGTGTACTGGTCATGACAGAGTGTCCATGTTTAAAAGTACAAACCATATCACTATTCCCAGAGATTTGTTGTATCTTGCTGCTTTATTTAAGTAAATGTTTGCTGGTCTGGGTGGAGTGCTGAACATATCTAAAACACAGATCCATCCCGTTCGTGCCGTGTTTTATGAGTTATCAGTTCAGGCACTTGCTGCCTTTTTTTCGGTGNCATGAAAAGTTTTGTTGGATATTGCTACTTTATTTAAACCAATGTGTACTGGTCAGGACAGAGTGTCCATGTTTAAAAGTACAAACCATATCACTATTCCCAGAGATTTGTTGTATCTTGCTGCTTTATTTAAGTAAATGTTTGCTGGTCTGGGTGGAGTGCTGAACATATCTAAAACACAGATCCATCCCGTTCGTGCCGTGTTTTATGAGTTATCAGTTCAGGCACTTGCTGCCTTTTTTTCGGTGTATTTCCCGGGTTAGCAGACAGAGTGTTTAGTGTGGCAATAAAACTTAGATCTTCCTTCAACGTGATCTGGATGGAACTAACAGCTTTCTTCTTAAGGCAACACTGAATCCTGTGCAAGGAACTCCTAGTATATCATATAGGTCGAGTAGATTCTTGATGATTTTACAGGTCGTACTTCGGTACGTTTTGCAGGGTGAACATGTACATGTATACAGACAAACACATACGGTCTGATATTTTAAAATAATTACTTTATTAGATTCTAAGACAAATGTACCCGATTCATTGTAATAACCGTTAGTTTTTTAAAGCAAACTATATAACCAGCACGATCTATATTGACAAACAAATTTTTCTTAGATCTGAACTTGAAAACCTGCCTTGGAGATTGAGATTTCCTCTTCAAAATAAATTCTTGTGACCTACAAGTAATTTCAGGCAGTCATTTAAACATTTTGCAATTAATAAAAAAGTCATTTTTATCATCAAAAACGTTTATTTTATATTTAACTAAAGCTAATTCTCCATCTAAAATATATTTTCATCAAACGTTTGAGAGAGAAGAGTTGTCTATAACACTAACACACTCTGGACAGTTTATGGCTTGAAAGCAACAGGTCAAACAACAAGGCACCATCTCCCCACAGCATGCTGTGTAATTAAACCACTCAAAGCGGACTGGAAAATAATTCTACCACCATGGTGCCACTTAGGTGCCAGTGGGAAGGATATAAATTCGCCAAACTTTCCTTACCAACAAGTCAAAGTCGACAACAGATCACATTCTTACAAGTAAGGATGGGCAAATGAGTGAAATTCTATTGGATTATTTTGGGGGATAGCAATTTGCTCCATTCAATAAAGGCATAAAACATTTTAAGTAATCCCAATTCCTGGAACCTATGTTGATAGTTATTTAAAACATACAGACTGCAAAACTATCTTATGTGAATACTTCCAAATCGGTTGTTTCTCTTAGAATGGGATATATATGTTCTGTTTCTAATATATGAAGCTGAGGGCATAATTAAAAAGAAGTACCTCCTGTTAGACCAAGTAACACTTTGTGCACAATCAGCTCAATATCTGTACATCTGCTGTACTCTGCACCTGAACAAAATTACAGGTATAGTGTTCTCTTGCTGACCTAGTTAACCCTCCTCTGTCATTATGGCACCACACAAAACTAGTGATGAAAGTTTTGTTTATTCTATTTATCTGTTACTGTGTTACTGTACACTGGTCTCTTTTCACCTTCATACATAACTATAATGTTTTGGTCTTGTTTGTGATGCACTTCCAGAATGACATGGTGCCAAAAATATGAACTTCACGTCACTTCATTTCAAACAAGAAGAATGTACGGCAAAGGGCAGCCTTTATGACATCTCATGAGTGTTATGCACAGTAAGTGTCAATAAGCTGAAAATCCAGCAAAAGCTGCATTCAGTTGTAGGCTAATCTGAAGTTTCTTTCTTGTTCCCTTCTTCTTTGTTCTGCCAATTTGGAGATCTCATCCACCCTTCTCTGAAGCAATGCTGAAATGATTAAAAATAAAATGACTGGTTATGACACATTCATAACCCTCCTACATGATTTTAAAAGGAGTAAACAGATGTTGCAAACAATGGCATTCTAATATGGCTGATATTATAACTTAACCAAAAAGCATCTTCCTAAATTTATGTGAGTAACTGACAACATTTAGTTGAGGTAGAACTGAGCTTTACTTCAGTTTTATCACTAGTTTAGATATATTACTCTATACAATATCTACATCGTACCTGTATTCTGATCCACCCACTGTAGTGAATCCATGTGTGCATTCAAAATCTTTGAAACTTGCTGGATCTGAAAAGAAATCACGTGAATTGAAAAAAAATCTTTTAGACCATACAACTTTTTCTGTCTTTTAAATGAAGTCATGATTTTTTGCAGAAACGTCGTGGTATTTGAGACAATATGCTGTAACCACTGTATTATATGATTGTGCTGTTTGCTCATCCACTTACTGGATCATTGGAATCCTGGCTTGTATTTGTAGCATTCAAATGTTCAATTATCTCCTTTAAATCCTGAGCCATTCTCTTCAGTTGTCCATCGATATTTTCGGCTAACTGGTACCTAAATGCATTCAAGAAAAGTGTTGACTTATTTTATACGTAATATGAATTAACCAGCTACTAAAACCAATGGTTACCAAAACAGTAATACAAGCACATCAAAACTAATTACATTTCACTCTGCAATATTTATAAAATATAAGTTTTTTATGAGAAGCAAGATTAAACTGCTGTTTAAATGGACTTATGCACAGTAAAAAAAAACTATAATAGTTTTATCCATATTAATTTAATACAATACACTTGAAATTCTTGAACTACCACTTACGTGTGTTCTCTTTCCAGGTCTGCATGTTGCTGGTAGCTGATAGGTGGCAGTTGCTCTATGGTCTTTTCAAGAGGGACCAGCATCTCTTCCAATTCTTTCTGCTGAGCTAAGATAAAGTCAAGCTCGTGGTCCAATCTCTGCTGATCTATCTTCACCTTTTCTACATCCGAGTTCAACTGGGTAATCTGAAAATAACACACTGGTCTGTACTAAAACTGCCTTTGTTCTGAGTTAACTGCTTCTCAACTACCTTTATCAATATAATTATATCGATAAATATGTGTCAGACTCAGTTGAATATTGCTTAAACCAATACACACTCACCTTTTCTCCGTTTTCTATTAACAGCCTGTCCCAGGCATTAACTTGTGTTGCCTGCTGTATAAATATTTTCTCCTGCTCTTCAAGTTCATGGGTCCACTTGTTGATTGCCTTTTCCAGCTGGCTGTAGTTCATAGCAGGCAAAGTTGTGGTGGTTGATGTGACAGAAGTGGAGGCTGTGCCAGTCCTAAGATAAATGTAGAAATGAATGATACTGATGTTGAAACAAAAACAGGATACAACTGAAATCAAAATATGTAAATGGGACACAGATTGCTCAAAGCAGAAAATGCATCTTTTGAAAGATACCATATGTCAAATATTACAGTTCCAAGTGTATACATATGACTAAATATCACAATTAAAACCTGTAATGATGCATGATTTTACGGGGGGGATTATACATACAGTGGGTTTGCCACTGAATTCTTGAATGCTCTTTTTTCTTCCGTAAAAAAACAGAAATTTGGGTTGTTTTACAAAATAATGTATTTTTATTAATTAAATGGGATAGTAACAATTTTAAATTTCCCTTAAACTTCATTGAAACGAAATATATGAAAAACGGGTATACTTGGTTTAGATTTGCTGAATGGTTTTGTGATTGCTTGCTAAGGTATAACATCCCATTAGATAGTCTTTAAAGGGAAACTTCAAACCTACCCCAGAGCTGTTGTGGTAGTTGCTGTGGACAGGACAGGTAATGAGAACCCTCCTGTGGATGATGCTGGCGTGCATGTTGTGGCTGTGACACCAAATTTAAGTCCTCCTCCTGTTGAATATCAAAACAAGTTGACTTATATGATGTGAATTCTTTTGTCATAAAGTGACCAAGTTTTAATGAAAATAAATTGAAATATTATTTGATGATTTAAAAAAAAATTCCATGGTATAAGATTTCAGGCAGTAAATTTGCATTACTGGGTACTTTTTCAAAAACCTACCTAATGAAAGACCCGAAGATGATGTAACTGCTAAATTAAAACCAGTCCCAGCTTGAGTGGTAGTAGTTGCACTGCTTGTTGTTGCAGTGGTTCCACCTAGACTTGGGGTTGTGGTAGTGGCTCCACCAACACCTAAGGACGTAGACTGTGTCCCGCCAAGACCCACGGTTGCAACAGGAGTTCCACCCAATCCAAGGGAAGCTGTGGTTGTTCCTGCTCCTCCAAGACCAAAAGATGTAGTAGCTGTCCCACCCAGACCAGCTGTTGCAGCAGTTGTCACTGCCTTGAGGCCTCCAAAAGATACATTACCAGGAGTGATACTGGCTGTGGTAGTTGTTCCAACTACACGCCCTGCAAATGTTGCAAGGCAATTTATAAACAATTAGAAATGAACTCGGAGAACACAGACCTCCAACAAGGCAGCTTAATTTTCATAGTCAATTCATTTATTAAGGGATAACCATCAAAATCTAATAGAAATCTTAGAAATCTAAGTTATCCCATTTTAATCTATCCTGAAAATTTTATCAAAAACCATCCGCAACATTCAATTTACAAACCCACGAAGCATAAACAAAAACTTTGGAGTGGAGGTAAAAAGGCCATAAACCTGCAACTAAAAATCAGGAGATAAGAAATATCTATTTTATATTATCAAAACAGATGTCATCAGCTTACCAAAATATCACACAAACTGAGTTTAATTTTATTAAAAAAAGATGTATTGTAAACACATACTTCTTATTACAGATTCATCCAGGGGTCAAAACAGAATTTGGGCAGGACTGGCCAATACGGACCAGTGGATCTTAGAGGTACTGGTCCGTACCAAGAAGTACTGGTCCGTAAAATTTTACGTTAAAAATTAGTAGTTTCAAGCTACTAGATATAACGTAAATGCATACATGTTTAACATCCATTTTTATTTCTATATGATTATCTAAACACATTCATATTCTAGTCAGTTCCTTTAACTGTTTGTACACATCCTCCTCTGCTAGCTCATCATTATCATAATATATAAAAAATAAAATGGATATATAAAAAATTATTATGAAATAAATATAACTTCTACATATATCCATATTTAATCTTAAAAATTTAATTTAATTTTAATTGCTGGGGTTGAACGCGAGACGAAAAAACTTCTCTCAAACTTTTCTAGCCCGAAAAAACACTAGCCCAATTTAAATAATTCATTTAAAAAGTTTAAGCAGATGCTGTAAAGAGTTGTGGTACCATACTGTACTTTCTTATAAACCTTATTATAGAAGTAGAGCAAGTGAATAACAAAGTCAATCAGGTTAATTTCCAGTTGATGGGGTGGTAAAATTAATTAAAAACATATTTAATTCTTTTAATATTGAAAAAATTATTTTTTAANTTTAAACCAATGTGTACTGGTCATGACAGAGTGTCCATGTTTAAAAGTACAAACCATATCACTATTCCCAGAGATTTGTTGTATCTTGCTGCTTTATTTAAGTAAATGTTTGCTGGTCTGGGTGGAGTGCTGAACATATCTAAAACACAGATCCATCCCGTTCGTGCCGTGTTTTATGAGTTATCAGTTCAGGCACTTGCTGCCTTTTTTTCGGTGTATTTCCCGGGTTAGCAGACAGAGTGTTTAGTGTGGCAATAAAACTTAGATCTTCCTTCAACGTGATCTGGATGGAACTAACAGCTTTCTTCTTAAGGCAACACTGAATCCTGTGCAAGGAACTCCTAGTATATCATATAGGTCGAGTAGATTCTTGATGATTTTACAGGTCGTACTTCGGTACGTTTTGCAGGGTGAACATGTACATGTATACAGACAAACACATACGGTCTGATATTTTAAAATAATTACTTTATTAGATTCTAAGACAAATGTACCCGATTCATTGTAATAACCGTTAGTTTTTTAAAGCAAACTATATAACCAGCACAATCTCTATTGACAAACAAATTTTTCTTAGATCTGAACTTGAAAGCCTGCCTTGGAGATTGAGATTTCCTCTTCAAAATAAATTCTTGTGACCTACAAGTAATTTCAGGCAGTCATTTAAACATTTTGCAATTAATAAAAAAGTCATTTTTATCATCAAAAACGTTTATTTTATATTTAACTAAAGCTAATTCTCCATCTAAAATATATTTTCATCAAACGTTTGAGAGAGAAGAGTTGTCTATAACACTAACACACTCTGGACAGTTTATGGCTTGAAAGCAACAGGTCAAACAACAAGGCACCATCTCCCCACAGCATGCTGTGTAATTAAACCACTCAAAGCGGACTGGAAAATAATTCTACCACCATGGTGCCACTTAGGTGCCAGTGGGAAGGATATAAATTCGCCAAACTTTCCTTACCGACAAGTCAAAGTCGACAACAGATCACATTCTTACAAGTAAGGATGGGCAAATGAGTGAAATTCTATTGGATTATAATGGATTATTTTGGGGGATAGCAATTTGCTCCATTCAATAAAACATTTTAAGTAATCCCAATTCCTGGAACCTATGTTGATAGTTATTTAAAACATACAGACTGCAAAACTATCTTATATGAATACTTCCAAATAGGTTGTTTCTCTTAGAATAGGATATATATGTTCTGTTTGGAATATATGAAGCTGAGGGCATAATTAAAAAGAAGTACCTCCTGTTAGACCAGGTAACACTTTGTGCACAATCAGCTCAATATCTGTACATCTGCTGTACTCTGCACCTGAACAAAATTACAGGTATAGTGTTCTCTTGCTGACCTAGTTAACCCTCTTCTGTCATTATGGCACCACACAAAACTAGTGATGAAAGTTTTATTCTATTTATCTGTTACTGTGTTACTGGACACTGGTCACTTTTCACCTTCATACAGAACTACAATGTTTTGGTCTTGTTTGTGATGCACTTCCAGAATGACATGGTGCCAAAAATATGAACTTCACGTCACTTCATTTCAAACAAGAAGAATGTACGGCAAAGGGCAGCCTTTATGACATCTCATGAGTGTTATGTACAGTGAGTGTCAATAAGCTGAAAATCCAGCAAAAGCTGCATTCAGTTGTAGGCTAATCTGAAGTTTCTTTCTTGTTCCCTTCTTCTTTGTTCTGCCAATTTGGAGATCTCATCCACCCTTCTCTGAAGCAATGCTGAAATGATTAAAAATAAAATGACTGGTTATGACACATTCATAACCCTCCTACATGATTTAAAAGGAGTGAACAGATGTTGCAAACAATGGCATTCTAATATGGCTGATATTATAACTTAACCATTAAGCATCTTCTTAAATTTTTGTGAGTAACTGACAACATTTAGTTGAGGTAGAACTGAGCTTTACTTCAGTTTTATTACTAGTTTAGATATATTACTCTATACAATATCTACATCGTACCTGTATTCTGATCCACCCACTGAAGTGAATCCATGTGTGCATTCAAAATCTTTGAAACTTGCTGGATCTGAAAAGAAATCACGTGAATTTTAAAAAAATCTTTTAGACCATACAACTTTTTCTGTCTTTTAAATGAAGTCATGATTTTTTGCAGAAACGTTGTAGTAGTTGAGACAATATGCTGTAACCACTGTATTATATGATTGTGCTGTTTGCTCATCCACTTACTGGATCATTGGAATCCTGGCTTGTATTTGTAGCATTCAAATGTTCAATTATCTCCTTTAAATCCTGAGCCATTCTCTTCAGTTGTCCATCGATATTTTCGGCTAACTGGTACCTAAATGCATTCAAGAAAAGTGTTGACTTATTTTATACGTAATATGAATAAACCAGCTACTAAAACCAATGGTTACCAAAACAGTAATACAAGCACATCAAAACTAATTACATTTCACTCTGCAATATTTATAAAATATAAGTTTCCATGAGAAGCAAGATTAAACTGCTGTTTAAATGGACTTATGCACAGTAAAAAAAAAAAAAAAAAAAAACAAAAAAAAAAAAAACTATAATAGTTTTATCCATATTAATTTAATACAATACACTCTTTTCTTGAACTACCACTTACGTGTGTTCTCTTTCCAGGTCTGCATGTTGCTGGTAACTTATAGGTGGCAGTTGCTCTATGGTCTTTTCAAGAGGGACCAGCATCTCTTCCAATTCTTTCTGCTGAGCTAAGATAAAGTCAAGTTCGTGGTCCAATCTCTGCTGATCTATCTTCACCTTTTCTACATCCGAGTTCAACTGGGTAATCTGAAAATAACACACTGGTCTGTACTAAAACTGCCTTTGTTCTGAGTTAACTGCTTCTCAACTACCTTAATCAATATAATTATATCGATAAATATGTGTCAGACTCAGTTGAATATTGCTTAAAACAATACACACTCACCTTTTCTCCGTTTTCTATTAACAGCCTGTCCCAGGCATTAACTTGTGTTGCCTGCTGTATAAATATTTTCTCCTGCTCTTCAAGTTCATGGGTCCACTTGTTGATTGCCTTTTCCAGCTGGCTGTAGTTCATAGCAGGCAAAGTTGTGGTGGTTGATGTGACAGAAGTGGAGGCTGTGCCAGTCCTAAGATAAATGTAGAAATGAATGATACTGATGTTGAAACAAAAACAGGATACAACTGAAATCAAAATATGTAAATGGGACACAGATTGCTCAAAGCAGAAAATGCATCTTTTGAAAGATACCATATGTCAAATATTACAGTTCCAAGTGTATACATATGACTAAATATCACAATTAAAACAGCTATTAGATAGTCTTTAAAGGGAAACTTCAAACCTACCCCAGAGCTGTTGTGGTAGTTGCTGTGGACAGGACAGGTAATGAGAACCCTCCTGTGGATGATGCTGGCGTGGATGTTGTGGCTGTGACACCAAATTTAAGTCCTCCTCCTGTTGAATATCAAAACAAGTTGACTTATATGATGTGAATTCTTTTGTCATAAAGTGACCAAGTTTTAATGAAAATAAATTGAAATATTATTTGATGATTTAAAAAAAAAAATTCAATGGTATAAGATTTCAGGCAGTAAATTTGCATTACTGGGTACTTTTTCAAAAACCTACCTAATGAAAGACCCGAAGATGATGTAACTGCTAAATTAAAACCAGTCCCAGCTTGAGTGGTAGTAGTTGCACTGCTTGTTGTTGCAGTGGTTCCACCTAGACTTGGGGTTGTGGTAGTGGCTCCACCAACACCTAAGGACGTAGACTGTGTCCCGCCAAGACCCACGGTTGCAACAGGAGTTCCACCCAATCCAAGGGAAGCTGTGGTTGTTCCTGCTCCTCCAAGACCAAAAGATGTGGTAGCTGTCCCACCCAGACCAGCTGTTGCAGCAGTTGTCACTGCCTTGAGGCCTCCAAAAGATACATTACCAGGAGTGATACTGGCTGTGGTAGTTGTTCCAACTACACGCCCTGCAAATGTTGCAAGGCAATTTATAAACAACTAGAAATGAACTCGGGGAACACAGACCTCCAACAAGGCAGTTTAATTTTCATAATCAATTCATTTATTAAGGGATAACCGTCAAAATCTAATAGAAATCTTAGAAATCTAAGTTATCCCATTTTTAATCTATCCTGAAAATTTTATCAAAAACCATCCGCAACATTCAATTTACAAACCCACAAAGCATAAACAAAAACTTTGGAGTGGAGGTAAAAAGGCCATAAACCTCCAACTAAAAATCAGGAGATAAGAAATATCTATTTTACATTATCAAAACAGATGTCATCAGCTTACCAAAATATCACACAAACTGAGTTTAATTTTATTAAAAAAAGATGTAAACACATACTTCTTATTACAGATTCATCCAAAATTAATTTGAATCATGCATCTAATAAGAAAATGTAACTGCTGGTTGCTTAAATACACTCACCAAATTTCAGTCCACCTGCAGGGGTGCTCGTCAAAGTACTTGCCAGTGAGGCTGTAGGTTTGGCAGCTATGAAAATAAAATATTTTAATAATTATTAATATTTTATTTTAAAATGTGGAATCAACTTTAAGACAAATAATGGAATATAAAATCAAATTAAGATACGAACATTATAGTTATGAAGTTGAATAGATAAAGTCTCCATAAACATAAATCACTATGTGTATGTCCAAAGAGCAAACATATTATACCTGTCTGTGCAGCAGACTGACCAAATGAGAAGCCTGACGACTGTGGAACTGCTGCAGTTGTAGTCACACTTTGCCCCAAACCACCTAACCCAGTTGCCTGAGCTGTGGCACTGCCTAATGTAGCACCAGGCTGTCCAAATGTGAACCCGCCACCTCCAGCGCCAGCAGGAGCTGTGGACTGTTGTGTTGTCCCAAATGAAAAGCCACCTGATGTTGGTTGTTGGCCACTTGTTGCAGTGGTAGACCCTGAAAAATTGGTTTCCTTTGGTTTGATTTAAGCCTGCCTCCCTTCAAATTACAATTGCATACCACTAGTATTACTAGATATGAAGTCCCACATGAGAATGACAAGTTTACAGCTGATAAAAATGAATATGTTAAAACTGGCAATATTTACTCAATTTTATTTATACAATTGAATTTTTTGACATATGATCTTAAGGGGCCCGCACACGGTGAGCATTTGGCGCGTGCCACTTGCGCTGCGCCATTTTCTCATCGTGTGCGGGGGTATTTTGGTGAGATTTTTGCCTCTCGCGCGGCTGAGCAAAATTTCTCACGTGTTTGATTTTTTTGGTCTCTTGAGGCAAATGTCTCAGCGTGTGCGGGGTGCAAGCGCCGATTGCTCATGCCATGCCAACAATGCGCATGTGCCGGTAGCCGGAAACAAAGAAAAATGGCAGCCCCCAGTGAAGTAAACAAAAATGTACACAGTTATAGTTAGTCTGATTGATTAACGTGGTCACCATTGTCCATTACTATCAGAAAAAACAACAATATGTAATGTTTCCTTAAACACATGATCCAACAGTTCACAGTGCGTCCGCTAGGGGCAGGCCGGGAGGCACCTCTGCTGAGCAAAGAGCACAGCGTTTGCGGGGAGCTGAGGAGCGCGAGCGTCTGGCTCAGCAAAGAGCTCACCGTGTGCGGGCCCCTTTAGGTCATTCAATGTTAAAACATTTAGATAAAATGATAAATTTTATCATTTTTTCAGAAAATGTGAAATATTGTATCAACAGTTATTTAAAATTCATGCTTAATCAAAGGAGTATTTTGACAGACTTCTCTCCATTTTCAAAACTACTAAACTGTTGAAAGAACCATTTTATTATGAAAATTGAGTGGTTTACAAATATCATTTGAAGTTAGAGAGCTGTATGCCTAGGTTTGCCTCTATTTTAATACAAATGGCATGAGTTTATGTTATGAGCATAAAATACATAAAATCATCTCTGGTATTTCCAAATAATTACCAAATCCAAACCCTGTACTAGTGCTTTGGGTAGTTGCATTCAGATTAAATGACACTCCAGTTGTGGCAGTTGTCTTAGGAGTGCCGAAACTGAAACCACCAGTGCCTGATGCTCCGCCACCACCACCTAATGAAAATCCTGACATGTCTCAAAGCATCTGAAAGGGTAAAACCAAATGTTGAAATCAGTAAGAATATTTACTTCATACTTGATAGGGACTGAAAGAGATAGTGTTTGTGTGATATAGAACATTAATATGATACAAAATTCGAACATAAACCGTGTACGCAATGTTGTATTAAGGCAAATATACCGCCTTAGACTAGTCACTTTAATTTTATTCAAAAAACGAAAGCAAGGCTTTGCCTTTGTTGCTCTATCATTGCCGCTTATTTTTTCAAATGTGGTGAGTTTATTTTGAAAATTGATAAATCAACATAAACTTTCCTTACCTGCATATAAAATGTTATACTTGATAACCAAGGGGGATACTTGTAACAGCGGCTGTGCTTTTATTGTAACCAACTTGTGAAAAGACCCAAAGCACGGCGCAAAATCCCCTATAGTACCTACACACGTTAAAAGTTTAATCAACATAATAAAAATGAATGATTTCTTATTTTTCTGAAAAAAAAAGTACTGTTAATGTTTCCTGATTGGGATTTAAACTAATCAACAAACATAATATCATAAATACAAATGGGAAATACCGTGAAAATTAGTAAATACTCTATTACGACGTACTGTTTTCCGGTAGATTTGAGAACCGAGCAGGGAAAGAAAGGCAGGTAGATATGAGTCGGCACGCTAAGTTTATAGCAAGAACGGTTTTATGTGAACCTGGGAAAGTAGAGCAAGGGTTTATGAAGTTAAGGAAGTAAGTCAACAGCTTTGCTTTCAACTGATCTAAATATCATCAAGTTTTGAAAGTTGTATTATCAAGTGAGCGTGCTTTATTGTCGCCTTACAGTAATTTTAACTTTTGCATTCTTAGTTCATATATTTTAGGTAACATTTAATCTCCATCTTCAACCAATACCTGTTGTAAACAGGTTTAACACTTTGTTCAACAGCATATAATCCAGAAAGGGGAAAGACTGAATCGTTTAAAATTAAGAAAAGATGGAATTTGGGCATACATTTTATGGTGCATTGTTAACAACCACGATGGTAGATGAAAGATGAAAAAATTGGTCATGTTTGGTATTCATTACACTTCTAGATGCTGTCTGATAGTTTGAATCTGTTGTACCATTTGTCTCAATATTAAGACTGCGCAATATCAACCCTTTTGTTGGATGTTAATGGGTTAATTATATGCTAGCCAAACCTGTGATTATTACTATTTTCTCAATCTTTCTCCTAGAATACTTGTAGTAGATGGAATAGAAAGGGACCTCCAGAAGCAAAAGCACAGCATGAAGCCATATATTGCCAAGGCAAAAAAAGTACAAGCAGTAAAATCAAGAATAATAAGGAAAGAAATGAAAATAAAAACAGATTTTCTTACATCTTTGAAAAATAGGAGGAATCCATTTCCAAGATAGCACAGAAGAGGATATGAAGGAAATAAGGACACATTTTCAATGATTGAAACTGTGAACTTCAAATATGCAGACTGTCAGTTTGAATTATTTGATCGAACTTCAAAACTGCAAAGAAAAGCAGTATTGACCCCTGAACTGAAAGTACGTTCAGTTTGTATACCTCTACCAAAAAAGACGGTTTCTTTGCACTTTGACCTAGGTGTGTAACTCAGTTTATGGTTTGCAGTACATATTGACTGCCTTATAAAAGCACAACTATACGAACTGAAAGAACATTAGATTAATTCATGTACTGTCTTTAAGGAAAAAATAGTTTCTTGGACATTTAATTCACACATTAAACCACAGCTTTTATAAATTCTTTATTTTTAAAACAAAGATTTTTACAAAAGCTCGCATACTAGAGTACAAGGAAGAAATAAAAAAATAATAAGTGCACTACAATTCTGACTTCTCTACAGTTTTTAGAAATTAATTTGTAAATTTAAAATTTACAATCATCAAAATGTTTTTCTCTTTTCTCCAAATCTCATTTAACTCTCTTTTGATGACGTTCAGAATTAAAGTTGTAAAAAGTAAATCTCTCTTCATCCTTAGTTTCTCAGACTGCTTTAAATTTACAAGACTAAACAAAGTTATGCCTTTTACTTATATTTTATTTTGGTAAAGGTAAGAACACCACATTATATTTCTTTTCATCAACTATCTCATAACAGGTACAAATTCTTCACTTGTAAATTTTTATAGTTTTTTGGTCTAGACCTACATATAATTTCCAGTGAATGTTACCTGGTGTGAAATACTGCACTTAAAGATAATTTGTCATTTGACAATTATTGATCATCTTTTAATAATCTTAACTGTTACAGCACAAGTCAAAGAGTAAGTGCTGTCTCTTTGCAACAAAAAAGCACAAAACACAAAACTGCTTAGCTTTTTTTCAGATTCTGACAAAAAGATGACACTTGAGCAAATTCTGTACAAAATAAATAGAGCACCAAAAAGGAATGGAATGTAATCTTAACAAAATCAAATTATTAAAACTAACACTTCAGTCCTGCTGAAGTCTAATCTGAAGTATAACAGAAAGTTGGGGGCATTTATCTCAAATACCACTGACAAAGGACAACCATATGCAGAAACTCATGCAAGAAACGAATTAACTGAGAAATTGTAACTAATAAGATGTGAGTGAACACCTAATGCTTGGCAGTTCTGTGATGTGCAGATGCTTCTGCACTCCATTTAAATTTTTTCTCATAAAGTAACACTTTTTTTTGGCAACATAAAGACTATGATAATGCCACATTGTAGTGTCTGTCATCCTCTGCTATCACAGTCACAGTGGGGAACTGATCCCTCATGTCATCTGGGTAATAGGTTATGAAATCTTCAGCACCATGTTTGGAAGGCCTTGCTACCTGAATGGTTACACCCAAGGTGTGGGCTAGGAGAAACATTTCAATCTGAAAATACAAAGTATTAAAATTATATCAGTTTCAGAATACAAGTCTTAATAAGCTTTTCTTGGGGGATAATATGAAACAAATGTAAATGTCATGGTAACATATATAATTTATTAGTTTCAGTTTCCCATACACATGATAAAACACAAATAATATCCACATGCCAAATAAACCAACTGAAATTAATTTCTTGGGCAGCAGAAAAAATGGGGTATTTCTTTCAGTTACACTATTTTAAACTGGTGGCATTTGGTTGGGTTCAATGTGTGCCTCTTAGGAAAATTAGTTGCTGGACCAAAAGTTTGGCCATCTTGAAAAGTAGCTGGCTCGAATGTCTGCCAGGTGGGAAAACTTCTCAGCCCGTTCTGAAAGTTGTCAGCCATGGGCAGACGGTCCAGCGTTAATTTCTAACACTGGTTGGGTTCAGCAACAATAATTTGATATAAGTAATCATTTTATATGCACCTTTAAATTAACTTTTGTTCTTGGAAATATGTAAGAAGAAAATTAGAACAGATAATAACATAAAAGTGAACTTTACTGAAGATGTGATGTTCTCTCAGAAATGTTCATATAAAAGAAAACAAAATTTGTTCGAAATCCAATTATCAGTTGTGATAGCACATTATTAAATTCATTTTCAATGGGGACCACCTATGATAGCTCTATGATGGCTGTGCGTAAAATCCAGAGAGATTTCGTGGGATTTGATGGAGAGAGTGTTAAGAAATAATGGCAAACTAGAGAGTGCAGTGCCAAAACAAATTAAACTTCACAACAGGTATTTTCAGGGTTTTTTTTAATTCCTGTAGAAAAACAGTCTGTAGCAAAAATGGCATGATTTCACTGTGTTATGAGTGTTACTTATCTATATTGCATTCTATGACAACATTCCTAGAACATAGGGTTTAACCATTAGCACTTATAGTAAACCCCACCCGCAGGTTTTCTTGTCTTGTATGACAAGTAATGCCTGTTGTAGTTTGTTTTAGCACTCTTACCTGCTCCAATCCAGCACTGTCACCAACACAGTTTAAATGGTTGGTCAAAAATGCCTCTGGAGTCTCTGAGGTATCCCTGGCAAACATCAGCCACACAAATGTGGGAACTCCTCCCCCATTCTGATAGTCTCCATACAGCTGAATGGCCTTCAACATCATGAGAATTTTCACTGCTTCCATCATACAAATGTCAGAGAAGCAATCTTCGTCATCGTTGAGAATTTTTAAAAGTTTTGACTCTCTTTCTAGTTCTGTGGCACCATTTTGTGATTCTTCCACCTGTAGGCAAAAAAATTATTGTAAAACAATAAATTTAACATATTAATTTCTAATATAATTAACAAGATCTTAATGTTTTATTTTCATTTAATGGAGAGGTACACAAAGAAAGAAGAGCACATCTTGCTTTATAGGCGCTAAGAGAATAGAGTATGGGCAAAAGTCTCAAAGAACAGAAAAGGAAAGATGGAGCAAAGTTTGAATAAAAATCATTTTTCTAGAAAATTTGCCAGAAACAAAATTCTTGAATATTCCTTACAGTGTGATTTCATAAAACTCCCATGTTAATAAAATAAAGCATGATAATACATGTTATGTACCTGTTTAAAAAATGTCTGTACACAAGTGTGCATAGTAGGCAAGAAGTCATCCTGGTTCTTAACATGTGGAAGACGGTGTGCGAAAGTCCACTTCTTTGCAATGTAGGGGTGTGTCTCTACAGCAGCATTTTCTAGTGCCTACAATAAAAATAGAATCTAATTATACTTCATAATTAAATTATGTAAGTATCTTTGTTTGAATTTGCTTTCATATAATGTCATATGTATTTTGTAAAAGAGCCTGTAAAATGTAACCTGTACACATTTTAGTGTTCAATAAAGAATTATTATTATTACTATAATATTATAATATTATTATTACTATTATGATATGATATGAATAAATAAATGATAAAAATAAAATGAAGATTTTTATATTTTAAAATAAAACTTACAATTCAGCTATATTGGATAATTCCACAGATTAGTAATCAATAAATTCTGTTGCATTCTGAAATTATCTAATTACCAATATTGTGACATTAATAGGATACAACTTTAGGTCACAATCAGGAATCCTACCTTGGAAAGAGATTTCAGCTTCCCAATATGTTCTAAGATGGGGACTTTATGGATAATAGCTTGGTAGAGAGCAGCACGTATTGCGCAGTAATTATCTCCACGCACACACCGCATGTGCTTAAAACCAAGCTGTTCAACTATTGCATGATAGCCCTGAAAATATATGAATATAAACAAATCTATGAATATCAGTTCCATTTAACAGCATGGATGCTTATTTGTGCATTGCTAGTTGCACTGCAGACCAGCAGGGTAAGCCTGGATATATATGATGCATGCCTACTTGTCAAAACATGGATATACCACATGTTGTTTAAGCACATAGCATGTCTATTAAGATAAGGTTGTTTACTGCTTTTTAATTGAGGGAAATGACTCCTGACCACGTAGAATCATATGAATATGGTAATTGTAGGGATTGGGGGAAAAATCAACATTTACATATAGTACCATTTTAAGAACTTGTATTGGATCAAGCATTTAGAATCTCAAAAAGCACCCTTCCTGTTACGCCAAGAAATGGGGGCATAAATGGGACCCCAAAATGCTGTCTTAATTAAAAACTTTTTTATGTAACATTATGTGGTACAATGTGTAAGGCTTTTAAACAAAATAATGGTGAACATTAAGAAAACAAAGCACTTTCTGCTTTAAAAAACATCACCAACCTTTTTCATTGCATCAGCTCTTTTTGTCGTTCCTTTCCATTCCTGTTCAGCATATGTAATGATATCATGTTTAGCACCAATATTGACTTTAGATACCTTATCCATTCGATTTGTGACATCTGAAATATCAACAACAGTCGTGTGATTTCATAGCATTACATGAAACTTTCACTATGCAGAGTTCTGAGAAATTCACTCAGGATGCTAAATCAATTAGAGGTTCTCCCTTCTTGGCATACATGCATCAAATAAAAATGCCTGCTAAGACAGACTGGAAAACAGACTTATGTGATCCATAGCAAAAGGTTAGATTGACTGACAAGGAATTTGTCTATAGTTAACTAGTCTGATAGCCAGGCTAGAGTGGTTCCTGTCTAAATTATCCAATATACAGTCATTGGTCCTAAACGAACCAACATATTTCTGCTGCTAGTTCTATTCCTTTTCTACAAGATCACTGAGTGAAATAAAAGTCATGGTAACAGATCACATACATATTAATATACTTTTACCTCTGAGCAGCTATTTATCATAATTATTCCAAAATACAAGTAACATATAATAAACATTTTACGCTGTGTGGAAAAAAAAAACACTGCCACACCCGATTACACAACTATGCAGTGTCGTAAAAGGACTGCAGAAATCAAATAGATATCTTACAATTATGAGAAGCCCTTTTTCAAAGCAACATTTCACAGTGGTGATCTTTTACAAAGTAATTTTCATAGTAACCTTGTTTATAAAGTAAACATTTCACCTTGTAAGGAAGTCCCTACAGCCCCCATGGAGCTATGGTGTTTATCATCAGTTTGTTCAACAGTGCTGTTTTCCTCACTGCATAAAGTATCTTTCCCTTGACTACTAAAGGGGCCTGACCACCTAGTTCCATGCGAGCTTTCAGCGAAATCATTATTTTGCTCAACGGTATGTATTTCCTGGTCTTTTGCATTAGGACTACATGACAAAATATCTGTACTCTCATCAGGAAGGGTGCCATGGTTACTAAAATGTCTGTTCCTGTCATGCATATTACTATCCCAAGGTGTGTTCATAATCCCAGCTAGTCTATGAGATCTTTCGCCACAATTTTCATCATCATCTGAGATATTTTTCTGAGGGTCACGTTTTTCACAGTCACTATCAGAGCTGCATCCATCTGTCTGGATTTCTGAATGACCTCTCGGA